ACAGGCGGGGGTCTCGGGCCGTCCTGCAGCCTGGAGCCTGCCAGGGCCACCACTTGGAGGCTCTGCCCACGGAGTCATTGCTGGGTGCTGGGCTGAGACCAGGCAGTCTCCCGCAGCTGCCAAGGCCCTCTCCCTCCCAGGCTGGCCACAGGTGGGGCAGGGAACACAGGGCTGGGCAGCCACTGCTGAGCCACTGCCACCTTGCAGGGACAGCAAAGACCTCATGGAGTTTGCCCGGATCCACCCATCCAGCAGCTGCCCAGGAGACCTGGCCCCCCACCTCATGATGCAGAGCAGCCAGCTAGGGGGCGACCCAGCCCCCCACAGCCACCCTGCCCACGCCCCCTGGTTGCCACGCACCCGCAGCCCCTCCTTGTGGATGGGGGGGCATGCCTACGGTCAGTGCTCCGAGGTGGTGGGAAGCCTGAGTGGCCTGGCATGGCCCAGCTGGCCTGACCTGCACCCTCTGCCTCTCCAGGCCTGGGCCACCCGGCTCTGCACCAGAACCTGCCCCCTGGCTTCCCCGCTTCTGTGCCCGGCTCTGTGCCCTCTGTGTTCCCCCTCCCCCAGGACGCCCCCACACAGCTCGTCATCCTGCCCTCGGAGCCCACACCCCACACCGCCACACACACACTCGGTGAGGGCCTCCAGAGCTGTTGACGGCTGGTCTGGGGTGGGTGGCACCTGTGGGCAGAGGGAGGGGGCAGGGAGCTGCCGGGCTGGGCCCAGTGGGGCACCGTGAGGTTGCTGAGCTGGGGTCAGGGCTGGGGGCCGGGAGCTATCCCATCCCTGTGGGGCTGACCGGGCCCCGGCACCACCTGCAGTCGACGTCATGGACCAGGCCTCGCTGTGGCCGCCTGTGTATGGGGGCCGGGGCCCAGCCGCCCACATGCAGCACCCCGGCCAGCTCCCGGTGTACCCGCGCTCCCAGCTCCTGAGGCAGCAGCAGCAGCAGCAGCAGCGAGCTCCCCAAGCCCTGGGGCTGCAGCGGGCCACCCAGCTCCAGGTACACGCCGCGCTGCCCCACAGGACCCGAGGTCTCCCTGCCTGCTGCGGCTTTGGTGGCCCCC